GGCATCTGACGACTAACATTCCCTGTTTCTATCAGTTCGTGATTAGCACAACTGATGTGAAATGACAGTAACTGCGTTATTCTCAACATGACTGAACTCCGGGAATTATTATTATTATTATTATTATTAATGGCTTTATTCAATATTGTATTTTGGTACAATATAGAATTCTTAGCACCAGTCAGAGTTCTTCACTAGTCGGCACATCATTGTTAGCCTGTAAATTCGTTAAAACTTCTGAATTTAGTTTACATCAAAGACTGACCTTAGTGAGACAACTACTGAGAACCATGAAACGCTGGACATCTGTTTCTTTCTAGTATGAAATCCAAGGGTTCTAGCAAGGATTCACGGCCATTTTTTAGAGAAATGTAACATTGAATGATTCCATTGCAAAAGGCTTTTTCTTCCATGCGTATCATTATGATTGTTTGGAGTTCCGACCCTGCACTCATCACTGACGTCAAATAATTCTACTAAAAGTTATAGAACACCCTGTCATTATTCTTTTCTTAATTTCGTCGGCATTTCACGCTAATGTGCTAATAAGTTATTGTAGCTAACGTATATTCAATAATATTCATTAGTATATATTAGGTAAGGGTATGTGTAGAAATGAATGAAGATATCGTTTGCAACCTTGAAAATCACTGACAATGAAAAACTCTCATCTTAGTTTCAAAATGAGTATTATAAAATATACACCCTTCACCCAATACGAGAGTTGTACAAGTATATTCACAATTATTACAATATATGAGTCTACCATTGATTAGTAGCTAACTATTAAATAGTTGACCAGGTCGCTAGTATATATATATAGTGACCTAACTCCACCTGGAGTCCCTCCGGGGGCTACTGCCGGCCCCAAGCTCGGATAAAGGAGGAGGGTTGGGTATGGGGTTAGCGACCGCATCCCTTAGAAAACTAACTCGCTAAAAAAAACGCTAACCAGAAAAATTATTCAAACATTTTAAACTCTGCCTTGGGAGTCAGAAGGTCTTCATTTAGAAGAGTTATGACGCCTCATGATGAAAGCCGAGTTCCTTCGGTAGTCACGAGGCCGATGCCCCGTCTGACAACCAGAGAAACCATTTATTTAGGTACATGGAATACTCGTTCAAAGTGGGAGACCGGAAAAGTCTTCCAAATTGCTGCAGAAATAAGGAGATACAACCTAGAGGTGGTGAGAGATTCGCAAACCTATGTGCCTTCAATAAACTGGTCATAGGCGGCACCATATTCCCACATAAACGCATTCACAAAACCACATGGACTTCACCGAATCACACTACGCAGAACCAAATCGACCATATCTGCATCAACAAAAAGTTCAGGAGGACGATGGAGGACGTGAGAACCAAGAGAGGAGCTGATATAGTCTCAGATCATCACTTGCTGGTGGCCAAGATGAAATTGAAACTCAAGAAGCACTGGACAATGGGGCGAACAACATCACAAATGTTCAATACGGCCTTTCTTCAGGACACTGACAAACTAAACAAATTCAAGATAGTCCTCAGCAATAAGTTCCAGGCCTTTCATGATCTACTCAATGGAGAAGGAACTACTATGGAGAGCAACTGGAAGGGGATCAAAGAGGCAATCACTTCAACATGTCATGAGGTCCTGGGTCACAAGAAGCACCATCACAAGGAATGGATCACTGTTGATACATTGGATAAAATTCAAGAAAGGAGGAACAAAAAAGCAGAAATCAATACCAGTCGAACAAGAGCAGAAAAAGCCAAGGCACAAGCTGAATACACAGAAATAAACAAACAAGTGAAGAGGAGCATTAGAACTGACAAACGTACATATGTGGAAGATTTAGCAACGACGGCGGAAAAGGCTTCAAGAGAAGGAAACATGAGAGAACTGAATGACACGACAAAGAAACTCTCTGGAAATCGCCGCAAACCAGAATGACCAGTGAAAAGCAAGGAAGGTGAGGTAATCACCAACATTGAAGAACAACGAAACAGGTGGGTAGAACACTTCAAAGAACTCTTGAATCGACTAGCCCCACTGAACCCACCCAACATCGAAGCAGCACCCACGGACCTCCCGATCAATGTTGGCCCACCAACAATTGAAGAGATAAGCATGGCTATCAGAAAAATCAAGAATGGCAAAGCAGCAGGACCGGACAACATTCCAGCAGAGGCACTAAAAGCAGACGTAGCGGCAAAGGCAAGGATACTCCACATTTTCTTCAGCAAGATTTGGGATGAGGAACAAGTACCAACAGACTGGAAAGAAGGAATTCTGGTCAAAATACCAAAGAAAGGCGATCTCAGCAACGGGATAACTACAGAGGCATCACTCTTCTCTCAATAGCGGGAAAAGTCCTCAACAGGGTATTGTTAAACAGAATGAAGGACTGTGTAGACGCCCAACTTCGAGACCAACAGGCAGGATTCCGTAAGGATAGATCGTGTACAGACCAAATCGCAACTCTACGGATCATTGTGGAACAATCAACTGAATGGAATTCATCACTCTAAATCAACTTCATTGACTACGAAAAAGCATTTGATAGCGTGGACAGAACAACACTATGGAAACTTCTTCGACACTACGGCGTGCCCCAGAAGATAGTCAATATCATACAGAATTCCTACGATGGATTACACTGCAAAATGGTGCATGGAGGACAATTGACAAAGTCGTTCGAAGTGAAGACCGGTGTCAGGTAAGGTTTCTTACTCTCACCCTTTCTCTTTCTCCTGGTGATCGACTGGATCATGAAGACATCAACCTCTGAAGGGAAACACGGGATACAGTGGACTTCTAGGATGCAGCTGGACGATCTAGACTTCGCAGACGATCTGGCCCTTCTACCCCAAACGCAACAACAAATGCAAGAGAAGACGACCTGTGCAGCAGCAGCCTCAGCAGCAGTAGGTCTCAATATACAAAAAGGGAAGAGCAAGGTTCTCCGATACAACACAGCATGCAACAATCCAATCACAATTGACGGAGAAGATTTGGAAGATGTAAAAACCTTTACATATTTGGGCAGCATCATTAATGAACAAGGTGGATTTGATGCAGATGTGAAGGCGCGGATCGGCAAAGCAAGAGCAGCATATTTACAACTGGAGAACATCTGGAACTCAAAACAACTGTCAACCAACACCAAGGTCAGGATTTTCAATACAAATGTCAAGACAGTTCTAATGTATCGGGCGGAAACCTGGAGAACTACGAAAGCCATCATCCAGAAGATACAGGTTTTTATGAACAGTTGTCTACGCAAAATACTTCGGATCCGTTGGCCGGACACTATTAGCAATGACCAACTGTGGAAAAGAACAAACCAGATCCCAGTGGAGGAAGAAGCGCTGGAAGTGGATAGGACACACATTGAGGAAAGAACCCAACTGCGTCACAAGACAAGCTCTCACATGGAATCCTCAAGGCCAAAGGAAAAGAGGAAGACCAAAGAACACATTACGCTAGAGATGGAGATAGACATGAGAAAAATGAACAAGAATTGGATGGAACTAGGAAAGAAGGCCCGGGACAGAGTGGGTTGCAGAATGCTGGTCGGCGGACTATGCTCCATTAGGAGTATCAGGCGTAAGAATATTAAGTAATATAGTAATCTGTAATAAAACAAGAAAAGACAGTTTAATGACGACACGACTTTCTTAAGTTAGTGTGATTGTGTTTTCAACCCATTAACACATGATTGTCGGTTAATGAACAATATGGTACCACTATCACTCATATGACTTTACAGGACATGTAAGAGGTTGCTTAATAGTAATGTAACAAAAAGTAGAACCTCATAGAGGACACATTTCCGGTAAATCAAATATGGTAACTTTGAATGCTCTTTTAACAGAGGAGAAAAAATTGCTAACTATGCCAGTAGATGGACCGGCCAGTTGGATCATTTCTATTAACTTTAGAAATCCACTTGAGGTAATGATTAGGAATTAACTTTACGAAACGAGAATGACTCATTCAGCATTTATATGGGTGATTAAACCGTATATTCAGAAATTATCAATAATTGTTTTGAATTTAGCCTATAACATCTGAGTCATGTTTGGACCTCAAAAAAAGACACTAGCAATAAACGGCTTAATTTCTAACACACACGTCACCGTTTGGTTTCTCAGACGAATGTTTTGACTAAAGAACATGGGAATATTTTTCAAATGATTTCTGTATGAATTTTACGATTGCAAGTCAAAATATTGGCCAATGGCCTAAAAGTACGCTTAACTGCCTAGTATGGAGATCATGGGGAACTTCAACACAGCCTTTGATTAATTAGACTGTGAACTATTTCTAATAACATCTCAAGCTGTTTGATTTATAACAAAAAATGTTAGACAAAATATGATCAAATGAACTTCGTCTTAATAGTTTCTAGTTTAATACTCTAAAAAACTGAGCTGCGAGAACTGCATAATATATACTTCAAGACCCTTGAAATTTTAGATTACGAGGTTCGACGACATGGATATATAGTACGAAATCAGCACCAGCCACAGGAAAACTCCCTCGACAAGGATGAAATTCATTCACACACCTTGAAAAAGTCAAAAATCGGAATAAAGTGATAGGGTAGGCTAAATGAAGGCCTATGTTCATCACATTTAGACACTGTTGGTCTTATTCGAAAAAGCACCTTAAGGTAATTATTTGTAACACATCACAAGGTATAGAACATCAATAGGCGTGAACGCATATCCCGAATCTTGTTGCGCGTATATGTTTCCCATAAGTTTTAAATAAATGACTACTTTATTAACTAAGATATTTTTTTAAATTGAGGCATGCTGTGATTTTATTTCCACAAACATCAGCACGTAGGATTACTGTCTCACTTTACTTAGATTTCAACAAAATGACAGCAAATAATGTAACCAACTTAACATAGAATTGACAAAAATTGGAACATAGATTTAAATAAATTCGATAATTATGTACAGTATATACTGAAGAAAATAACTATACTTAATATGAAATGATTCAAAAGTTTATTTGTCATAGAGCAAAGCTAACTGTTCATCAGTCAAATTAAACCCTTGTCTTATAATACGTTCTTTCTTCTTTTCTAAATTCATTTTTCTTATCATATATTTCGAGTCCATTTTAATGGATGAGTGACGAAGTCGTCTCACGTCTTTGGGATATTCAACTGCTTTTGAATCACCTGCGCTGAAATGTGTAATTCTTGCAGTATTTGTTTTATTTGGCCATCCAAAACCGAGACGATCGCGTTTTAAAACGGTTGCTACAGGAAAGCGTCGACCTGGTCTGGAAGCACCCAAACCACCGTTTTTAATGCAGAAATGTGATTTATACTCGTTAGTTGAAATGCCAGACTGTACTTTCGAAGTTTTCAGTTCTTCATATTCTGGATCGAGGGCAGCATCACGCCAACCTATTCTAGTTAAAAGTTGATAACCTTTATTTGAAGGAGGAATTAACAGCGGCGATGGTTTCGAACTTTTTTCTGACATCTCAGCCATTTGATGACCAATAGATGAAACGTGTTTCTTAAAATCACTAAAAGAGCCACCACATACGGAACATTTATATAAATTTGAATCAGGTGACGAGTATTCCAACTTTTGAGTTACGCACTGTGTAAGTGATTCATAGAAATTTTTTACTTCTTGGCCAGAGAGATTAAGGTCTTTAACTTTTGGAGACGCATCGGTTCTAGTTTCAGGGTACCTCAGTGTTCCCGACACAGAACTTCGAACAAAAGTCCGGTTAAGCAAGGTTTTGTCCACATTCTGAAATATAAGACAATGTACGTTAATTACTATGAATTAGTGCACATATACATTGAATAAAAGTGGAGATATTGACAGAAATTATCTTTATTTAAAAGATGACAGTAGGTTGATTTGAAATCATGCAGGAAATTTTGGTCCACCGTTACGATAGTTTCCAGATATGTCGGCTGAGCTAAAGTCCATACCAGGGTTTTCTATTTGTAGTCGCTGAATGGTAAGGTTTCGTTCCATTTCATCAAGAACTAGTGGATCCGCCTTCCAGTTATCGGTCATTAAAGAATGCCAACAGGTACCTGGACTAGCTTTGATCAGACACATAACCATCTACAAGATGGAATAAACAATGATAAAATGGGCGTTTAAAATAAGTTTATTCTACTACAATGAACCGTTGTGAAATATTTCTCTCAAAAAAATAAATGTACTTCATATACCAACACAACAAGAATAAGACTTAAAACCTTCATCAAATAGTGTATTTCAAAGTGAAAACTATCATGTGTCAACTTCAACAAGGTTTACTTCTACGTATCTCTATCATCTGTTCGATTGATAATGAAACCAGAAAATTTTGAACATAAGGAAGTAAAATACAAATACGGTCATTCAGTACTAAAGTCTGCATTGTTTATCAAAATTTATACATGATATTCTAATAGGCTTTTGTTTTCAGTTGATAAATCTTCCAATGATATAAAAAAGTACTGAAAAATTGATGCAGTTCTATAGTGAATAATATACAACAGTACTAGAAAAATACACTAATTTACTTTATCATACTTCAAATAAAGCGGTGAAAAATCAGATCACAACCAGTAATCCAACATTTCTCTATAAGTTGTCGGTTTTATACGTAGAATCCTACTTTATCTAATATGCGTTAATTCTGGTACAAATAGGCAACAAAAAAGGCATGTCCCATACAAATAAGGAAATAGTATTGTGAAGAAATAAAGGGAAGGGAAGGGAAGTACAATAAAAAAAGATAAGTGATCGAGATTGATGTAGACTAAAAGATATATTTTAGATAACAAGACACTCAAGAAGGACGCTTCAAGCCACTAATTCGCATCATTTCTAGGACACCAACCAAAGTCATGATAAACAGGCAGATGCTAAACATAACGAATTTTATACCAAGGCGCCAAACATAAAATCAAAATCACTACCTCGCCATCCATTTTTACTATTATTAAATAAACCAGTGTGGAAGCCACTGGGATCAAGTTCGTAGCACATATACAAAAACACTGAGACCGGTGTTTCGAAGTGGTAATACCAATCGAATTATTGTCACTGTACCTGGACACATTGCCGAACCTCAAATTTACTAACATGATGTCCCCACTCAATGTTAGCAGTCCTTCGGATACAATGAGGATTGAAAACAGAGAGTCGTCATTTTGCTTGGCTCTGTTTCATTCACTTCATATGCAAAATATATGTATTCACAAATCAATTCTCGTTATTCGACTTATTTAATTCCGTTATTGGATAACGCGATCTAAGTCGACGATGATATACGAGAATAGGTGATAACAAACATTCATACGCTCTAAATGGAGTCAGATCCACGGGCCACCTCACTACCATTGTCAAATGAGTAACTGCGGTGGGCATAGCTTCATTATAATCCCACAGCAATGTAGTACAATCCGTATATTCAGGATAAAGTCTTTCTCCAGGAGACAGATCAGTATCATCACTACTTACTTCCATCGGTACTGCAATCGATGGCGAAGTTGAAGAGTAGTGAAACTGTGATACCCTGCCTAACCCCACTGGTTGAATGGAACAATGAAGAGAGATGACTATATCACCTCGCTGAGGCATTTGTATACAAAGAATTTAAGACACGCATAAACTCGGGCACAGCCTACTTCAACGGACAATCACAGAACACAGTCTCGTTCAACGAATTGAAGGCGCCCCTAGCATTAAGCAACACAATGATTGTTCGTTTGAAATAAATATTGCGCTGCTCTAACATTTGGGGGAGTGCTATTTTATGATTAGTTCATCCAAGACAAGAACGAAAACAAGCCAGCTCCTGACGAGTTAGCCGTTTGTGGGTTTTGTATTATTTGTAAAGTATGACAGAAACCAATAGTTTGGACGCCGATGAAAGTAGACTAATACCCCGATAGTTGTCGCACAGATTATCTAGCCTCTTTTCAAAGATGGAGATGATGCTCGTTTCATTTTAGTGTCAGGACATTCTGTTTCTTGAATTCTTCCAAACAACGCAGTCAGTTCTCTGACCAGAACTTAATTACCATTTTTAAAAGATCCTGGAAGACCATCTGAACCTGATGACTTACGATACTTCGTAATTCGGAGTCCCTCGTTAAGTGCCTCAGTCATCGACGGTCAGGGAGGGCAAAACAATTCGATCGACACTGATGGGACAGCATAAATGCTGAAGTGTTCGACAAAAAACTCAATCCATCTTTTAAGACGCATTTAAATGTTACTAAATTGTGTATCATTAGCTACACAATTTGCTTCGCTGAAACCTGACTGCCCGCTGTGGGTGGCTAGGATAAGGTAAAACAGCTTTCAGTAGTTGGTAAAAACAACTGCAGCTTTCAGCTCACTAGCACACTCGAACTACCATATTTCTATGTCTTTAGGGAAACTTTGCAAAATAACTCGACATACAATATTCCAGTTTCGGTGTTAACGAAAATTGGTGAACATTAATGCATATATCAACAAGGAGAAAACAAATATCCTCATGAACTAATTAACCACGTTTCAGAACCGATTTACGTAATTAAGAGGCTTCGTCTAATTTCTACACCATTCTTAATGCCTGTTCAAGCTCTTAACAACTACATTCTCAATCTCTTAGTAAAGATAACATCTCTGTGCTTTTGTTTAATATGTGAATGCCCTCACCCGACCGTTGTTGCTACCTTGACGTGGTGGTCGCGCTTGCCTATCGTGATGAAGCAACCGAGCTATACTGGCTGGAACAACCGTTCCTCAAGGTCCTACCATGTCAGACAGGTAGGTTGAAGGGTGGCAAGACTAAAATCAGTAAGCCCAAGGTCTGAGGATGAAGTCGTACTGCTGGCTGTACTGGGGTGTGACGACAGCAAGGTGCTTGCTTCAGACAACCAGCATAACAGCGATGCTGCCTTCCCACAAGGAGGGGTGGGGTTAGAAAAGGTCGACCCTAAAAATGCACACCTCGCCTTATCCCACGGATATCCGTCTCCGGCGGTAAGGTCTCAATAAGTACGGAGCTAACACAAAAATTACCCATAACAAGGTCGTGTGTGACCGACCTCAAGCAGTTGTCCCTTGGGCACTGCGGTCACGCTCTCAGGTCACTAAGACCACCTTTAATCCAAATTCCTTTTCAGGTACCTCCAGAAGAACCCTTCCACGGTGTGGGCAACCGGGAAGTGATAACCGCCCTCATACCTCTAACAGCACTCAAGACCACTGTATTCATAATCAACCTCAGTCTTCACTTCCTATTACTCCTCCTACATCAACTTTCACCTCTAACCTTCCTTTATCGGCTTCCTCCTCAAATGTCACCATAGCCAACGATTCTAGTGCTCAAAACACCGTCCCAGGTCTACTGAAACGTCGCTCCAAACTACACATTGGAGCCTTCAACGTACGCACCCTATGTCAAATCGGTCAGCAGGCTTCCTTGGACAAAACCCTAGAGTCTCTTTCCATTGATGTATGCTGTGTCTCCGAAACACGCATACAGGATTCCAGTGTGGTCATTCACTTGACCCCACCTCGGCAAAACGGAGAGCCAACGACATACACCCTCCGTGTATCTGGTGACCCGATGGCCAGTTCTCGTGGACTGGCAGGAGTAGGCATAGCACTAAGCATGAGGGCCGAACAAGCCCTGCTAGAGTGGATCCCCGTCAACAGTCGTCTATGTGCTATTCGGCTGAACGGCTACGTAAGAACTCGGAAGGATAAGGACACACGTCGTTGCCTTTTTGTCGTTTCTGCCTACGCTCCCACTGACTGCAGCTCAGATGAATTTTACAGAAAGCTGTCCGAACTTCTTCAGAAAGCTAAACGCTCAGACATAGTACTCGTAGCAGGTGATTTTAATGCTCAGATAGGCAGTTTAAACCAAACAGAAAGGCATTTAGGTGGATATTTTAGTATTCCGACACAGCGAACAGATAATGGTGATCGTCTGCTGCAGCTATGCTCAGACAATCGTTTATTTTTAGCAAACACAAATTTTAAGCATAAGGAGAGACATCGTCTAACATGGCGACCCCCTACACCAAACCAACGATGGACTCAAATAGACCATATTGCCATCAGTCATCGTTGGAGAGGGTCGGTACAAGATTGTCGCTCATTCTGGAGTACCTGCTTGGACTCCGACCACGCCCTAATACGGTCACGCATCTGCTTGCGCCTCACTGGACGCAAAAAAGCCACATTAAAAAGACCCGTTAGAACTGTGTTGAGTAACGAGAAAACCAAAAGTAGGTTCCAGGAACAGCTGAGGTCACACTTAGGTAGTTGTGAAGACGAGGCTGACCCAGATGTTGCTTGGAAGGGCATACAATCAGCTGTGGAAACAGCAGTGACATCTATTAGTGACTTAAACCACAGAGTTGCAAGGAACCAGTGGATTTCTTCAAGGTCTGTCACACTGATGGATTCTCGCAAACTCGTCCCATCAGGTTCTGAACATGATGAAGAGCGACAACAAATCAGATCTAGGTTAAGAAAAAGTCTAAAGAACGACCGTGAGCAGTGGTGGGTAACGAAAGCAAAAGAGATGGAAAAGGCGGCGACTATAGGGAACACAAGACAGCTTTACAGACTAATAAAAGAAACTGGAATCAATAAGTCAAGTGTAAGTGAGATTATTTCGGAAAAAGATGATACTCTCATCTGCTCCCAGTCCAGACGTTTAGAACGATGGGCGGAACATTTTAGAGAACAGTTCAGCTGGCCTTCAGCTACTCTACAACTACCCTCCATTCCCAGACAATGTGAATGGAACATTGAAGTAGGTCCCCCGACTCTTGCTGAAGTTCAAAAGGCTATAGTTAATCTGAAACGAGGAAGGGCAGCTGGTCCAGATGGATTGGCTTCAGAGGTCTTTAAGGATGGTGGTCCAATTTTAGCGATTAAGTTGACTAATATTTTAGCTAAGATCTGGGAATTAGACTTTATCCCATCTGACTGGTCGCAATCACTTATCGTCCCAATATATAAGAAAGGGTCAAAATCATCCTGTGACAACCACAGAGGGATTAGTTTAACTAATATAATATCTAAAATACTAGCCTCGATAATTATCAGACGCCTAACTAAGACTCGTGAACTGCAAACTCGAGAGAACCAAGCTGGCTTCAGACCTGGTCGTGGCTGCATTGACCACATATTCACCATTCGTCAGGTTCTAGAACACAGGCATACCTATCGGCGTCCGACGATGGTGGTCTTTCTTGACTTAAAAGCAGCATTTGACTCGGTAGACCGCGAGACTCTGTGGCAGTGTCTGTCATTGAAAGGCGTACCTCAGAAGTACATAAACCTTGTGAAGGCTCTTTACTCGAACACTACTAGTCGAGTCAGAGCTTATGGCGAACTGTCATCTACTTTTGCAACCTCAAGTGGTGTCCGTCAAGGCTGTCCACTTTCTCCATTTTTGTTTAACTTCATCATAGACCTATTGATAGAAATAACCTTCTCGTCGACTGAATTCTCGGGTATTGATCTCCTACCAGGAGACCCACTTATCGAGTTAGAATACGCAGATGACATAGTCCTATTTGGTGAAGACGCTGACAAAATGCAGAGTCTTTTGGTAGCACTAAGCAACAATGCCAGGATGTTTGGAATGCGCTTCTCTCCCTCTAAATGCAAGTTGTTGCTTCAGGACTGGTCTGCGTCAACACCTGAACTAAGTATGGGGAGTGAAGTAGTCGAACGCGTTGACAACTTCACTTATTTTGGAAGTCTGATCAGCCCTAATGGGTTGGTGTCTGACGAAATCTCTGCACGGATTCGAAAATCTCGTCTGGCTTTTGCCAACTTACGTCACCTATGGCGAAGGCGAGATATCCGTCTATCAATAAAAGGACGAGTATACTGCGCGGCAGTCCGTTTTGTTTTAATTTACGGCAGCGAAACATGGCCCTTAAGAGTAGAAGATACCCGTAAGCTACTAGTATTTGACCACAGATGCCTTAGAAATATTGCTGGCATCTGCTGGGATCACCGGGTAAGTAATAGTGAGGTTAGACGCAGGGTACTAGGGAATAATGGTAAATCAGTTGATGAGGTTATGAATCTTCATCGGCTGAGATGGTTGGGCCACGTATTACGTATGCCTGAACACCGATTACCACGACGTGCAATGCTAACCGGGGTAGGGGATGGCTGGAAGAAAGTTAGGGGCGGCCAAACCAAAACGTGGCATCAGTGCCTGAAGTCACTAACTTCTAGTCTGAGCCATGTTGGTAGATGCAGACTACTTGGTTGGGGTCCGCGTGACTATCGTAACCAATGGTTGGAGACTCTTGGTGACATGGCTCAGAATCGATCACAATGGCGTCGGTGTATACACTCCCTGTCTTCCCTTAAACTAAGAGACTAAAATCACTTCATATCTTTCTTTCTACGAACTAATTCTTTCTTCCTATACTATATCCTTATTGCAACCTTTGACCTAACCACTCCTATGAATCCGCTGTTCATCTTGCTGTGCTAATGAGGTATGGCAACCTGGTCCGACGCACATATGTGCCTGGTCCTACGTTGTAGCTGACTGACTGACTGCCCTCAAGAAATTACTGTTATAATTGAGTAACATGTAACCAATTATCGTTGTAGAAAAATATAGATTTGAGAATTTACAGCTCTAAGAATGAAATTGCCGAAAAGAGATCTTCATGCTAAATCAATAAATTTTATTTAACTTACGATGTGGGACGACAGTCAACCTTATAGATCTCTGCTAGTTTGTAGGTCCGAAATCTTTTTCATTTTCCTTAAATATAAATCCATATTACGCAACCTCTTGTTCCAAGACTTGTTCGACTTTTACGATAACATGTGTTATGAGGGTAGTTCGGGCGATTTTCCCCACACCGTAAGATTATGTATTGCAGTGTATAGTTCAAATAGAGTGATTTAGAATAATAACGGTACTAAATAATTACGGTTAATAAGTTAGGGTTTACTTTTTTGAGTTTGAAATTTCGTTTGGTGTTACAGAAACTTACGTGCTTTTTTTCGTGAAGGCTCCAGGTGGATTCACTTGCCTTTATAAGGCTAAATAAGTTACCTGATAACAATGGCTGCTGACCAACAAAACCACAAGTGATTGTACTATTGGTAATTTTACATACGATTTGCTTCACGTCTACGATTTGTCGGAATGGAATTTCGATAAAAACTTCTTGAATTGTTTGCCACCAGCTCCCCCATTCAAATGAGGCACAAATTAATCCAGATTGTCCTTTTAAATGTGTCTGTAGAAAAAAAATCAATTAGTACATTAAGTAGTAAATGACAAAAAGATTAACAAACGTTTAGTAGTAGTATGATGAATACGCGCTAGGTATAAAATTAATTGGAAAGTTAAGGCAACTCAAAAACCGACTGGATTCTTACTTGCTCGACTGAGTCATACCTACTATGAGTTTTGCAAAAGGGAAAACTCGCTGTACTGAAACACAGGATATCTTGATTTTGACCATAAGAGTTTACTGAAGGCAGATAGCGCATGAATTTCTCACTGCAGTTATATTTCATTAGTATTTTATCAATATTTACAGATGATAATTATGAACAAACTTCAACAATCGTATCCATCAATTTCAGAGTGTTAAATTTTACATTTAGTACAAGGTACTTAACATGCCACTTAGCTGGTTAATTAGTCAAAGATAGACGGATATTTTCATGACAAACAGAAGCCTGATGTAACTGTTAATATGATTGATCGGTGAATATACCAAGAAGCTTATTTTAATCAAGTATCTCCAGTGAAAAGCACAGTTATCTAAATCTGGGAATAAAAAATCGGAATTTAACAGAGATTATCGATCAGTACACTAAAAAATTATATCTTTTAATATGTCTATCAATTCACGTAGAAGTTTTCCGTGAGGACTACATCAACAAGTTTCACACCCGAAATTTTTCTTCATGGAATATTACCGGAATTAAGGATGCGTAGAACACAAAATATCTGAAATAGATGATAAGATAGAAATTTTCAGTACAAGAATAGTATTTCGTAGGATTTCCGGCGCTCATCCGACCTTTGGGTAGTAGAAAATCCTGAGAGTTGAATTTGAGCAGAAGCAGTACAGAGCTGTATAGACCTAATGAGAATGCCCAGTGATATGTGACAATTATAAAGTATTGTGACAGTCGGAATTGTCCGATAATTGTCTAGTTATATAATATCCAACCACATTCAATAAAAACTTTAGAGGTTTTTTAAAACAAGATTGAAAGAGTGCACTGGGAATTAGGAACAATGGTTCACCAGCTAAAACACTCGGCCTTCAAAAAATATGTGGTAAATATGCAACCTGCCTTACTGATTCAAGTTTGAGTAGATTTATCAATCCTCATAAAGTATAATTTTATCCTATTCACAAATATATATAATGCACTAGAGATGCCGACTTCTTCCAATGTTTCAAAATACCAGGTGCTAACTTGTTGAAATTGATTTTCAATCCTATGTTGAGAAGCGGTTACAACAGGTACGTTTCTTTATTTGAAGACTCAGATGTGATCTATATTCTGAATATTGACCTGGGTGCAGTAAGGTAGCGTTTTCTGATCTCTTGGACTAATAAACTCAGGCCATCACAAGAAATCAAATCAACAGTTAGAATATCACTGAATGGTTAACGACTGAAACCCTCCATGCTAATAGGCATCATCCCTATATTTGTACAAGTGTGAAGCAGAGCTTATTAAGGACTAGAATAAATATTTGGAATGCGTTTTCGTAAATAAACCAGAAGATAAAGAGGAAGTGCCATATTCCAGCAGTGCATTGGGGAAATCTTACAATGTTGCTGATGGAAGAAGACTGTGACTACTTTAACATTTATGCGGAAGAGACGCTTCTATACAGAGTTAAATTAGTGTAACCACAAACTGAAGTGTGATTATGAATGAACTGCATGTCATCGAACTACTACATACACTTGACGTATAAACTCAACGGAAATTGAAACTTCCACCCGAATCTTTCAAATATACGTTGGCTAACAACTCTCATCAATGACAAAAGCAATAGTTGGGTGATGGTTCTTACTGACAAACTGGATATGAATGGAATTCAAAGTTTCGATAGAACAATGAGAAGACAGAGTTGATCTGAAAAATGTGATGTATTTTCGCTAGACATTTTGAACAATCTGGCCACACATATACTTGTCAGGGTATTTTATATCAAACTCCGTCTTCTCATTGTTATATTGAAATTTATATAAGGGACTAATTGCTTCAAATTCTAAGTTGTCAGTACAAGTTTTGCTCATAGGGATTAAAAACGTGTCTTTTTTCGAGTGATGACAACTGCAATGAACAATAAGTTGAGTTTTATGTGTAGCATGTGGACCAATTTACAATTAGGAGTGTAGAAATGCAGTTCCGTGTTGTCCTGACAGAGTTTGAAATCGAAACACATCCATCTATAGAAATGTCTCATTCATCTAGTTGCAAACTTCTTTTAAATGTTCTCCCTTGAAACAAACAAGGAATGAAGTATCACTGGGTATTGGCGGTCTCGATTCTAAAGTGGTAAATGAAGACTCGGATAAAACCATAACCATTCCAAGTAGTCACGATACGGCCGTTCTGAGTGATGGGAAATGGACGACAGTGCTGAAACAAAAACCAGAAGGAGAAAGACAAAAACAACGTCCGTCTGATTGATAAATCTTCGGCATACTTCCATTTTGACTCACAGAATACTACGCCAAATTTCCAGAGTGAAACCAGGATTAACCCAAGCGTGACTTGAAAAGGTTTGGTCTCATCGAATATTATTGTGAATAATTTGCCAGAATCAAACGATTCTGATCCAAAAATTAAACACGCCCATGATTTGGAAAAGGTCGAAGTATATATTCGTAGCATCTGAGCAGATAACTCTACAGAACTTAAAATAATTGGTAAGAAGAAATAAGAGTACCGGAAATTCTGAACTCTAAATGCATAGATTCTCTATGATAAACTTAAGGATGAAGGAACGGCAAAATCCCGTGTTAAATAGTGCTCGAAGTCAAGATAACACCGAAATTCGAGAAGGATCTAAAATTTCTGTAAGATACAGAATAAGAAGGTTGAACTGGCTGAACTAGAAACTTGTTGATGATACAGTGAGGAAAATCCACGCTTATTGAATTTCCAAGTAGTCAGGTCTTGATAGCGAATGCTCGTAGTTTTTGACGTAAATTCCATGAACTGGGAGTACTAGTGAGCGCATTAAAGTTACTCATCGTAGCTGAGACCTAAACTTGGTTAGTCTATGACCATGGAGTTACTTCAGTCAGTCAGTAACAACGTAGAACTTCGTACGTACATACATCAGTTCGAGTTGCCACACCACATTAGCACAGAGATGCAGTGGTCGATTCAAATCCCATAGTGGTAGAGGTAATAAGAGTATAAGCAGTAATCGGGAAGATTAGGGTTTGGAGATGTTATTTAAAGAGTATAATCCAGTGAAATAAATTTGGAAAGAGGAAGAAAAAGGGACATGAAGAATTCAGAAGATTAGAATTTAGGAGAACACAAAGAGTGGATGCACCTGCGCCATTGCAAACGATTTTGAGCCATGTAATTCAGGGTCTCTAACCATCGGTTGCTATCATCTCGCGGTCCCCAACCAGGTAGTCTACACCTACCAACATGACTCAGTCCACTTGTCAGTGACTGAGTCATGGACTTATGCCATGTTTTGGTTTGGCCGCCCCTAGCTTTCTTCCAACCTACTCCTATACCACTGAACATAGCGCGTCGAGGCAGTCGGTCGTTGGGCACACGTAACACGTGTCCCAGCCATCTCAACTGATGAAGTTTCACTACTTCATCAATTGATTTGCCATCCTTACCTAGTACCCGTTTCCTAACAACTGTGTTACTTACTCGATGGTCCCATGATATACGAGCAATGGAGTTACTTCAGAATTATCGAGACATAAACACTTACGAATTGATAGGAATGGAAGCAAGAAATTGGACTGGGACCTTATGTACATTAATAACAATATAAATATCCGTTTATTTGTTTGCAGATCTCACGAAGATGTGTTTGTGAAGTAACTAGCTATGAACTCCCTTTTGAAGGTTGTAGATCTATGCTCTATGTCATCTATCTTAGACCAATCCGCTCTGCTGATGAATTTTACAACACATTCAGCTATGAAGTAAAAATAACAGATAACTGACATTAGGTTTTAATGAACCTGATATCAACTGGATAGAGATGACCACCGTAGTTACTGTAGACTCTTGATAGTAGGCTCCTGATGACTGTAGTGGAGCATGCTTTATACAACACGTATTCGGACAAACACATTTTGGTTCAAACAAAACTCGAACTTAGTAGTCACTCATATAACCAATGATATTGCCTGTCTAAATATCCTCCCACCGATCATGGTGTTTTGTCACTCGTGTTTAGAGTTTGCGACATAATACACGGTCAGGTTGCCCCCCCCCTCAAATGTGTGGAGAGCAAACACAACAGCCAAACAGAAAAGTGCTGGGAAAATGGACTAATCAGTAAATATCAGCTCATCAATTAGAGAGATATGGTCTATACTTAGAGGTACACTTGGTTTACTTACACGTGGACCTTTTAACTCACCACCATGCATAACTAAACAAGTCAAGAAACTGCTTAGACGTAGGAAAAGGCGTTAACGTATGCTTATCTATACAGACTCTGAACAGTACATATTCACTTATTGTAAGACTAGGAACGGTTGCAAGGCGTTGATAAGGCTCGACATTCATATGATACACAATTTGTTAAGAACTGTGAAAACAGTTAGTCAATGTTTCTCTAGCATAGAGATGCGAACTTAGAGAAGTGATGAAATTCCACCAATTTTGGTGAAAAATCCGCTTAGATTAGAAAGAAACGCTGAAGCTTTATCAGAATATTTTAAGTGTTTTCTATCGATGATAGTGAAATACTAACAAGATGGCGGCTTGTCGATGGATCCTCTGGTTATTGAGATACGGTTTTTCTTACAATTGCTTCAGATGGTTAGCATCTGGAGTTTCGTTCCTTGCTCAAAGTAGTGAATTACTGGAATTCTCAACCAGGAAATGTAATATCAGCACCTCCGGCTGGTACATTGTAGACAAGATTGGGTCTCCACAGTGCTACAAATCGGAAGGATTAACGCAGGTCGATTGACCTATCCTTAGTAATAAACACTAGAGTTGGTATAGACACAATTGTGTCTAAATTTAATCTCGTCGACCTTAACATATTATACCATTACAATGGTATTAATTCCTTACAAAAATTGCATAGAACGTCTTTCCTAATAAGTCCCTTCCTATCAAATACGTTACCGCTGCTTCACAATCGAAAATGGAAAGTGTCTATCTGGGATGGGTGGTTCGGGTCAAATCGTTCACCACGACCTTGAGAGACATTATTCAAGGGAGGCATCTCATATTTGAAGTGCTCAAGGGTAGTCGAGAATGGGTTAGCTTGCATAAGATCTTGGTTTCCGTATAATTATGTAGTATGCTGACGTCTA